CAAATAGATATGGATGGAGCCTCACAGAGAGGTCACCACTGGTACTGCACACGCTCACACCTCACCCAACACCACCAGCCGTGTACGCAGGACTGCTACTGTTTAGTAGCGCGGGGACGAGTGAAAGTGTTTGTGGTGTGGACGAAGCTCTCATGAATCAGCTGCTGCTGCTGCTGCTGCTGCTGCTGCTGCGGCTGCTTCTGCCGCACGGTTCCGGCACGATCTTTAATGCGCAGAGAAAAAACTACAACCATGTACAACAAAGATTACCATCTTGGTAAGACACAAGATAACACACCCCCAGGACCGATTTTCAAAATTCGATGTATCAACGGCAGCGCCGAAAACGGCGTTGAAGCCGTCTGACGAGAGCTCTCCGACAACGAATAGTTTCGTTTATGCATCCTCTTCGCCCGTTGTGGAGAAATCGGGCTTTGAAAAAATCAGTCAACGGGTGTGTTATCTTGTGTCATATGCGGTAGCCAACTGAGATTCCGTGACGTAGATGTTCAGGGAAATGACGTCATGAAACACCGAAAAAAAAGGGGCCTCACTAAAGATCGTAAGATCCCGAAAACTCGAAACAGATTTCACCACACTCGCGTTATAGGGAGGGATTGGGAGAGAATGTACCACCCGATGCGCGACTTCAGACAACGCCATCCGGAAAACAGCACAACCAGGAGAACATGTCAATCTCTAAAAAATACCACCACCCCGCTTGTCGTGAGTGGTCCCTCACGTCCGGGAACACAAAACAGGATCATGATATGCATCAGATATGGATACAGCAGTAGAGATTATATTCACGTGTGGAATGCGAAAGAGACAAGAGACAGAGACAGAGACAGAGACAGAGACAGAGACAGAGCACTACACTACTGCTGTCACGTGAACGTCTCCAGCAGGCAAAGGAAGAGGCACCTACCACGGGCGCCAGGCAGGCATTGACTGCGGCGTGCTTGATCTGCTTCTTGTCCGAGTCGAAGGAAGACACCATCACCGTGCATGCCCCGCACCCACCCTCCCCACATCCAAGCTTGGTCCTGCTTACGGCAGGACGATCGTGTAGTACGTCCCACAAAGCAGTGGCGCACGTCGAAAGGGGCATCAGAGAGCGAGCTGAATACGACTGCGATGACCGTTGCGCACTCGTCTGGCTCCCTCAAAACTGCAACTTGTCGCTATTATAGCTTCTTGTCGCGTCCAGATTCTACACGCCGCAAGCACACCGACTCTTTTGCGCCACAGCCTCACCCGGTCAGGCCGGCCGCCCGGAGATGTTGCAGCAGTGTTGTCTGAGGCTGGGCATCTTTGACCACCTGCTTAGCTCCATTCACGAAGAAGACTAGGTGGTTTCTGGTCCCCTGGGTGTCACCGGCTGCATCATCATTCCCCGTCGGCATTGTCGCGTGGAAAACTCCTCCTTGTTGTATGTAGTCAGTCAGCAGTCGGTGCCTTGGGATGTCGAAAATCTGTGTGTTCTAGGAAGCTTGCACCATGCTCTCGCTCGCCTGAAGGTGTCGTAGTACACTCAACCGTCCAACTGCTGTTGTTGCTCTTTCTCGTCGACAGCACAACAACAGTGGCAGGAGGAGAGAGGTGTTTGGCTCCAGGAGGAACAAGAACATGCCACGAGCCCCCCCTCATTACGCACACTGACGTAATTCCTATTCGCGACACCCCTCCGCTTGGCTCCACGGGCTACTCCATCTGCTGTCAGTCAGCAACGAAGCGTAGCAACAGCCGATCGATCGCTGAGCTGAGCATGGTGTTCAACGAGCAGGCAAAGGTGCTACTGATGGTGGCGAACCTTCTGCTTCCATGGAGTACCAGAGCTTTCGTGCTCCACTGCAATGCCAACCAGCGATCCGTGCTCGGCAGGCACGAAGGCGTTGTCATGATGGAGACTCTTCACGGGAACGGTGAGATATCTAGCATATTGTTTCGTCAAAATACACACAGATAGGGCAACATGCAGGGGGGGGGTGCAACGGCAGAGTGGCAGAGTACTTCTAGCCTGCTATGCTTGGGTTGGTGACGTTCGCATACGGCTGCCGCTGCCGTTGTTCGTAAAAACTCGACACCTTCCTGCTGGTTTCATTATCGTTAGTAGTCACATGGCTCTTCTGACTCAAGAACGCCACGGATCCCGCTACGCTGTAGACACATCGCTGTTGTGTGTAGGTCATGCGTGATGCAGCCAGCACGTGATATGTATGTGCAAACATTGGTTGGGTTGCTGGATTTGTATTTCTGGGTTTCTCACAAAATGAGGCCGCGCGAGGCGTACGTTTGCATGAGGCCTACACGCCGATCTCCATGTGTACATGTAG